TCATGAGTCTGAGTCTTCATGAGTCTGAGTCATCATGAGTCTGAGTCTTCATGAGTCTGAGTCCTCATTAGTCTGAGTCTTCATGAGTCTGAGTCATCATGAGTCTGAGTCTCATGAGTCTGAGTCTTCATGAGTCTGAGTCATCATGAGTCTGAGTCCTCATGAGTCTGAGTCCTCATGAGTCTGCGTTTAATGAGTCTGAGTCCTCATGAGTCTGACTCATCATGAGTCTGAGTCCTCATGAGTCTGAGTCTTCATGAGTCTTGAGTCCTCATCAGTCTGAGCCCTCATGAGTCTGAGTCTTAATGAGTCTGAGTCCTCATGAGTCTGAGTCCTCATGAGTCTGAGTCTTCATGAGTCTTGAGTCCTCATCAGTCTGAGCCCTCATGAGTCTGAGTCTTCATGAGTCTGAGTCCTCATGAGTCTGAGTCTCATGAGTCTGAGTCATCATGAGTCTGAGTCATCATGAGTCTGAGTCTTGACATTGATGATGTTTCCCACACATGAGGCTAACAGTCACAGATCACTGATCAGTATTGATGTATTGGATATAATTTATGCTAAGTTACACGCTAACGCTATGAAACCCAGACTCTGGACTTCTGGTCCATGACACGGATCTTTATTATCTTATTTGTTCCTCCAGGTTTCCATAGTGATCTGTACGGCCTTCATCCTGGCGTGGTCTCCGTACGCCGTGGTGTCCATGTGGTCCGCCTGGGGGTTCCACGTGCCCAACCTCACCAGCATCTTCACCCGCCTCTTTGCCAAGTCCGCCAGTTTCTACAACCCTCTCATCTACTTCGGACTCAGCTCCAAGTTCCGTAAAGACGTGGCCGTCCTGCTGCCCTGCACCCGGGATGCCAGAGACGACGTCAAGCTGAAGCGGTTCAAGTCCAAGGCTGACGCCCACGGGCGCCTCAGAGTCCCCCTGAACCGGACGGAGAAGAAGTACTCGCCCGGGTACCTGCCTCACCCGATGACCCACGGACCATACCATGGACCAGACCACGGACCAGACCACGGCGTGAGGAGCCCGCCCTGCACGCAGCCGCCCGTCAACAAGGAAGTGTTTCACATCGACATGCCCCGCCCCTCTGAGACCGGCCCCGAGTTTGAATGTGACAGACTCTGATGGAGGCGTGTTTATATAAATATAAAAATATACATATACATATATACTGTATGTATATATGTATACGTATATATATATATACGTATATATATATATATATATATACAGTATATATATATATATACATATACGTATATATATATATATATATATACGTATATGTATATATATATTTATGACTCTGTTGACAGATTTGATTGATTGTTTTACTGATTGAAGACTGAAAGTCTGATCGTTAGACTTGTTGAATTGAGGTGTAACCACGTGAACATGTTTGTATTTAAGATGAATAATAATAATAAATCGGAGCCACCGGGTCAGATTCTGGTGAAACCAGATGAAGTCATGCAGGTTCACCAGAAACTCCTTCAGCTCAGACTCCAGCAGAGACCGGTCCACCATGGACAGACCCAGATCCTCCAGCAGAGACCGGTCCACCGTGGACAGACCCGGAGCTCTGGAGGGAGGAGGAGAGCTCAGCTCCTGGCAGCAGCAGCGTCTCCTCCTCTTCCTCTTCCTCTTCCTCCTCTTCCTCATTGTTCATATAATGATGTAATAGTGATATGACGTAATGTTGATGTTAGCATGTTAGCATGTTAGCCTCCATCAGAAAGACTTCGTCCCCTTTCACAATAAGAGCTTCCTCTCACGCTGAGCTCACCACGTGGATCGATCCGTTCTTCACGAACCGGCCCGAAGTTGTCCGACAGGAGCCGAGCGGCTCCGCGGATCGAGGCGTCAGAAGGAGCGTCAGACCTTCCTCCTCAGCATCCAGACCCGGTCCAGAGAACCCGAAGAAGAGGGCGAACCGGATCCCGGAGCGCAGCCTCCTCAGCGGTGAGTCCCGTCCGTCGATCGATGAGTTATATCAGCTGTTTATCGACGATCAGAGACCTGTCAGTCAAACCGGTCTCGGCGATGACGTCACCAGCGGTCAGACCCTAAACGGACGCGGATCGATTGATCAGTTGAACAGGCCACACACACACACACACACACACACCTACACACACACTCACACACACACACACACACACACCGCTCCATCACAGGTGCATGACTAATGCAACCAGAGTGTTGTGTGTGTTGTGTGTGTCTGTCACTGTTTTATCTTATTATCTTATTTTATTTTAGAATTGTATCTCTTCATATTATCTCAGTATTTCTTTTCTTGTACTACGTTATTATCTTATGATTTTATTTTATTTTTCTTCTTATAGTTCCTAATTATTTTAGGTCAGTATTTTATCTCATTACTTTTGTATTATTATTCTACTTTATTATTTGTCTCTTATTTTATTTCATATTCTTCTTCTTCTACTTTATTATTGATGTTATTTGTGTGACTTTGTTTCTCACGTCAGTGAAGAAGAAAGTCGGTTTTGTGTCACACTTCACACAGACTCACCGCGGCTAGCCGTGAAGCTAACGTGAATGTATTATTATTATTATAGAACAAATATTATTATTATTATTATTATAATATTATTATTATTATATAATAAATATTATTATTGTATTATTATTATCATTATTATTATATTATTATTATTATCATCATTATTATCATATTATTATTATAGAATAAGTATTATTATTATTATAGAATAATAATAATTATTATTATCATCATTATTAGTATATTATTATTATTATCGAATAATTATTATTATTATTATTATCATTATTATTATACTATTATTATTATATTATTATTATTATTATTATAATAGAATAAATATTATTATTATTATTACATTATTATTATTATTATAGAATAAATACTATTATTATTATATTATTATTATTATAGAATAAATATTATTATTATTATTATACTATTATTATTATATTATTATTATTATTATTATAGAATAATTATTATTAGTTTAATAATAATTATGATCACATTATTAATATTATTATATACAATATATACAATAATAATATACAATATATACAATAATAATGTATTAATAATAACAACATGGTTTCCTTTCATCAGCTGTGAGGACCAAACTCATCATGTGATCACAGTAATCTGTCTCCTAGCAACAGTAACTACATCCTGTGGGTAGCTCTGTGTGATGTGCTACCATGGCGATGCCTCCAGTAGTACAATATAATACAGCAGTATAGTACATATATATAGTATAGTACATATAGTATAGTATATAGTATATATAGTATAGTATATATAGTCTAGTACATATAGTCTAGTATAGTATATAGTATATATATATATATCTATAGTATAGTATATAGTATATATCTATAGTATAGTATATAGTATATATAGTACAGTATATATAGTCTAGTATATATAGTCTAGTATAGTATATATAGTCTAGTATATAGTATATATAGTCTAGTATATATAGTCTAGTATAGTATATATAGTCTAGTATATAGTATATATAGTATAGTATATATAGTATAGTATATACAGTGCCTTGCATAAGTATTCACCCTCCTTGGATGTTTCATCCTTTTGTGGCTTTTATACATGAAATCATGGTCAATATAATTTGGCTTTTTTGACAAGAATTTGCAAAAAAAAACTTTAATATCAAAGTGAAAACAGATTTTTACAAAATAATGTCAATTAATTATAAATATATAAGGTAAAGTAAAGATTGCATAAGTATTCAGCTCAGTATTTAGTAAATGCACCTTTGGCTGCAATCACAGCACTGAGTGTGTGTGTGTGTGTGTGTGTGTGTGTGTGTGTGTGTGTGTGTGTGTGTGGATGTGTGTGTGTGTGGATGTGTCTCACTCAGGCTGGCACATCTGGACACTAAGATGTTTCTCTATTCTTCTTCAAATCAGCTCCAGCTCTGTCAGGTTGCTCAGGGATCGGGCGTGAACAGCTCTTCTGGATTGGATTGAGGTCTGGGCTTTGACTTCCACTCCAGAACATTCACCTTGTGGTCTTTGAACCATTCTGTGGAGCTTTTGCTGCACAGAATGGGGTCGTTGTCTTGCTGGAGAATAAATCTTCTCCCAAGTCGTAGTTCTCTTGCAGACTGAGTCAGATCATCCTCCAGGATTTGGGGATATTTGTCTGCATTCATGTCCCCCTCTACCTTTACAAGCCTTCCAGGGCCTGCTGCTGAGAAGCATCCACAGAGCATGATGCTGCCACCACCATGCTTCACGGTGGAGATGGTGTGTTTGTGGTGATGTGCAGTGGTTGGTGTTCACCAAACATAGCGTCTAGTCTGATGGCCAAACAGCTCAATGTTTGTCTCATCAGACCAAAGCACCTTCTTCCAGTTGACCTTGGAGTCTCACACATGCCTTTGGGTGAATTCTTTCCACAGCGTCTTTCTCTTTGCCACTCTCCCATACAGCTTCGACTGGTGAAGAACCCGGGCAACAGTTGCTGTATGTACAGTCTCTCCCATCTGAGCCACTGAAGCTTTGAACTCCTTCAGAGTGGTCCTAGGTGTCTTGGTGGCCTCCCTCATCAGTCCTCCTCTTGCCCGGTCACTCAGTTTGTGAGGACGGCCAGCTCTAGGAGATTTAAACTAGTCCCATCCTCCTTCCATGTCTTAATGATGGACTGAACTGAACTCTGTGGGAGGTCCAGTGAGGTGGACATCTTTGTGTAGCATCTCCTGACTTGTACTTCTCAATGATCTTTTCTCTGAGTTGCTTGGAGTGTTCTTTTGTCTTCATGTTGCAGTTGTAGCAGGAACACTGATGAACCAGAGACTGGACCTCCCAGACAGGTGTGTTTATACTACAATCACTGACACACATCAACTGCACTCAGGTCATCCCATCTCACTACGTGTGACACTGCTGGCATCAACTAGCTGGACTTCTGTTGAGTTAGGGGGTGAATATTTATGCAAACACTTATTTTACACTATATATTTTTAATTAATTGGCATTAGTTTGTAAAACTCTGTTTTCACTTTGACATGAAATTTGTTGCTTTTTTTGCAAATTCTTGACAAAAAAAGCCAAATTATATAGACCATGATTTCATGTATAAAAGCAACAAAAGGGGAAAACATCCAAGGGGGGTGAATACTTATGCAAGGCACTGTATAGTTTATATAGTATATATAGTCTAGTATATAGTATATATAGTATAATATTTATAGTATATATAGTCTAGTTTATAGTATATATAGTATAGTATTTATAGTATATATAGTATAGTATTTATAGTATATATAGTCTAGTTTATAGTATATATAGTATAGTATATATAGTATAGTATTTATAGTATATATATAGTATAGTATGAAGGTATATTTGTGTCTTTATTATGCAAACAAAAAAACTTTTAAAAGCAAATTTCTCACACTGCAATCAAAAATCAAGTTTGTAAGTGAAAATATATAAACTGAGAATATTTGTTATTTGTTAGTTTTGCTTATCAAACTAGAATCTTTGGTTAAAAAAAAAAAATCTTTGGTTAAAAAAAAAAGCTGTGGTTTCAAAACGAAAAGCTGAGTTGAGTTGTTTGTTTGCGTAATAAAGACACAAACATACCTTCATGGGCGGGACATACGCTGCTGAATGTGCCGGGAGTTTCTATTGGTCGGTTTGACTTGGCTCT